CCCAGGGGGACAGCTTGAGGCTCTGTCTCAAAAAAAAAAGAAATTAAAAAAATATTACAATACTATTTTTGCGTTCTATGAAAATCTTTGTTGCTCCATATAGACCAAATTTTTAATGAAGAACCCCCCTCCCCCTGTCAATGGTGTCCCGCTTTACCAATGTTAAAATGTGGTCACCTATCTTAACCCCATGATATGGGGCAAGTGATTCTCTTTTGTCTTATGTGTCGAACTATGGACAATCATACTACTTCCTTTTAAAACTGTTGGGAGAGGCGGGGCACAGTTGCTCAGGCCTGTAAATCCTAGTGCTCTGGGAGGCTGAGCTGGGTGGACTGTCTGAGCTTAGAAGTTCAAGACCAGCCTGAGCAAGAGTGAGACCTTGTCTCTAAAAATAGCTGGGTGTTATGGTGGATGTCTGTAGTCGCAGCTCCTTGGTAGGCTGAGGCAAGAGAATCACTTGAGCCCAAAAGTTTGAGGTTGTTGTGAGCTATGACACCACAGCACCCTACCCAGGGCAACAAAGTGAGACTCTGTCTCAAAAAACAAACAAAAAACCAAACCTGTTGGGAGGATTAGATGAAGTATTGTGTGTGAAGCATTAGCATAAGGCCAGTATTTGGCATGGTAACCAGGCAGTAAATGCCAACTGCTATTGGTATCCACTGTCTTTTATGATATAAAAGTGTTCAGGGCACAGTAAGGAAATGCAGGATCAGTAAACAATGGCAGAGTGGACAGTATTTGTTCATTGCCTTCTTTGGATGAGCCTTCTGAGGGAGCCCCGGGTGTCCTTTTCAGGGGACTTTGCCGTGTCTCCCACATAGGATTTCTGTGAAAATCAAACGAGAATTTTAGGATGTGCTTTGTAAAGGGCTGTCCTTATGCTTTGAATTAATAGTAACGTTTTTAATATTAGCATTATTATTCTCTGTTAGTATCTCTATGTTCGTCATATTTAAGGGCAGGGAAGTAGCTCCCCATGTTTTTTTCCTGGTCCTCAAAACTTTATATTTTTTCTTTTGACTGTAGTAGCTTGTGCCAAGCAAGTTATTTGATTTGGGAAGGGGTTGACTTTCAAATTTTACCCTATCACATTAATTATATTTTCAGCTGCTATTTTGATTAGATTTTAGGTTGTGTAATGTTTGAAAATAGAAAAGGATACATGTACTGTGTATGAAAGTTACAAAATGTGGTAACAAAGTGAACAGTCACAAACCCAAATCCAACTTCTGAAGGCAAACCTCAAAAGGCTCCTGAGACTGTATGTGTAGTTCTCCTGGATCAACCGGCATTATTGAAAGATAACTTTAAAATGAAATCACTGAGGAGAGGGAAACTGTTTTACATGTAGTAGATCAAATGAGGACTGTTAGTAATTTATTAAACATGTTTCCTGTTGTCAGATCTGTAGATCTGAGCAGGTTATACTATTTTGGCTAAAACCTTTGAGTCAACCCCTCACCTTCACCCAACCCAACCCCTTTTTAGAATCTATAAATCCTCAGGGATTTCAGCTCTTCTGTTCTTCTGATTGTTCATCTTTGTTCTACCTTTTGGGGCTCCCTTCTCCCAAAGATTGACTGTAGGCTCCTTGAGGCTGGGGACTGAGTCTTACCCATCACTTAGCCCCAGAACCTGGCAGAATCTAATACCAAATGGTGCTCAGGTGATCCTAATGAAAGCATAATTGAGGGAATGGGATAATACAATCTTTCCTTTCTTTCTGAGAAAGAGGTCCAAATCCTTTCTATTTTATGGGCTTTTACAATGACTAACTAATGGAATTAGTAGGGTGAAATAAACCACGTGATAGGGATTTATAATATTTTCATAGTTTTTGTTGTTCCTTGTAGAATGAGGTTTCTGTTGTTCCTCAGAATCTACTCAGTTCCTTAGAGGGTCCTTGGAAGTTCTGTGCTTTTTTTTTGCAGTTTTTGGCCGGGGCTGGGTTTGAACCCACCACCTCTGGCATATGGGGCTGGCGCCTTACTCCTTTGAGCCACAGGTGCTGCCCCCTTTCTGTTTTCTATACTTCTTTAATTTCACCTTTTTATTGTTTAAAAAAAAAAGCCTAAGAAAACATGAGTACGGAAAATGTCGGAAAACAAATACATAGCTTAATGTGTTGTTATAAGGTTAGTACATGTATCCTTGAAACCACCACCGGGGTCAAGACATTGACTTTTGGGCTTTAACAAAATGACACTGTATGTATAATGTGCCATCTGAACTTGCTACCTGTGCTTCTTTGTTGAGTTTGAAATCCTCAGGGATTTCAGCTCCTCAGGGATTTGTTTTCAAAACAAATGAGTAGAATAGAATTTTTTAAAAGGCAGAAAAAGAGAAAAAGATTCTGATTCAAATAGCAGAGACAGAAAAAAAAATAGAAAAAGAACAAGAAAAAAAAGAAATAGCATTTTCCCAGCCACTCAGAACCTCTCCATTCACCCCATCCAAAACACAGCACCTTCCCAGGCCCTAGAAGCAACCACTGTCCTGCTTTCCTAGGATTGTGTTATTATATCATGTTTCCTAATGTGTATCCCTGGAACTCAAGTTTAGTTTTGCCCAGTTTTTCTGTCAAGTGTCATATATTTTATTTATTTATTTATTTAGAGACAGAGTCTCACTTTGTCACCTTCAGTAGAGTGCTGTGGCATCGTAGCTCACAACAAACTCAAACTCTTGGGCTCAAGTGATCCCCTTGCCACAGCCTCCCCGGTAGCTGGGACTGCAGGTACCCGCTACAACGCCCACGACAGCTATTTTTTTTTTTTTAGAGGTCTTGCTATGGCTGTGGGTGGTCTCAAACTCGTGCGCTCAGACAATCCACCTGCCTCAGCCTCCCAGAGTGCTAGGATTACAGGCATGAGCCACCGTGCCTGGCTAATACTTGGTTTTCTTAATAATAGCAACTGTTGATGTTCAACAATTTTATATATTGACTCTCTGGGGATTGCAAACTGGAGAAATAAAAATCCTATCATTTTATTTTTTCCTCACCTACTATTTGGCTACCCAGCAATACAGCTTATATGTAAGTTCTTGATTCTGTCTTCTTTTTACCCAGTTTTCAAGTTAATTGATTGGTTTCTTGTCATTCTCTGAAGGTGACCCACTAAAAAATACATATATATATATATATTTGAACTCATGGATATAAACATATAGAAGGGTTTCAATCCACTGCAGTTATCCTCACTGAAGTTCAAATTGTCCCATTTTTGCCCAGGCAGAGCCTCTTCAACTTCATTTCTAAGTCATTTTGGTATGATCTTAGTAGTGTGTGATGGCTTCTTTGCCATCTGGCAAAGATGTCCCAGGGTCATTTTGTATACTTTCTGTTCAGCCCTGGAGTCTGTCATTTCTCTAAAAACTCCGGGTTTCTTTTGATGAGAGATGGCATTTCAAGACCATAGATGAGGTGCAGGGGTATTCATTGTTTCTGCATTGGCACACATATACACAGATAGATGCACACACACATGATATAAAGGTCCAAGAAT